AAAAAAGCTTGCACAATATATTCCCTCAAAAAGAACTGTTCGTACGTGTTTCATCGCAAAATATTTTAATATCGGAATCTGCCAGGTCACTGTAGTAAAATACTTGCACCATTGCTTTTTTTTTAATTATTATTATTATTTTGTATTTCTTTCGCTCATACGCTCTTTCTTTCTCTCTTTCGTTCAATCAATTAGCAATTTCTTGTTTTTCAAGGGATATTTTGTAAAATGCAATCGTGAAAAGAAGTAATGCAATTCGACAACTAATGATTGACTGAAGTCGCACAATTTTTTTGACAAAACTATATGTTCATTGGATATCAGAGATTATCATAGTTTTTCTTGCTTTTCTTATGTTCTGAATACACTTTCCAACGTTAACGTACTCGGCGTATTTAAACGTATTGCATGCCGTGAATTTTGATGTGATAAAATCTTCATATAAAAATCAATAATTTGTGTCAATCTTCCTCCATGATTTTTCAAAAAATCTTCTCTTGTTATGTAGTTTTGCAAAACAGGAAGAAGACTGACAAATTGTAAATTTCGAGGGATGCACATTAAATAGATTTTGCGTGATACCTTCACCCTCTTAAAAATAACTATATAAATGTTTGTAAGATTTATTGAAACAATAGATGAATCAAGACAAATGATCAATTTCTAGGTTTATAATTATCAAAATGAATAGCTTGCCAATATTTTTAAGAGTATACAATAATTTATATTTATTTATAATTAAATATAAAAAAAGTTGCTTGGGAAGACGAATAAAACTTTTAAGTACATCATTCTCAATTTCTCGTGACATATTCACAAAAGGTTCCAATAAATCTCACAAGCTGCATCATTCAAAAATTTTCTCGAGATTCATTTTAAATCAAAACATTTTAAATATACTTCAATTATTATGTTTTTTTTGTACAAAAGAACATCAAATTCAAGTTATATGATAGCAATGCATAAAAATTTTATGATTCCTCTTTTCTACTTTCAGAAAATTTCTGAATAATTGGAAATTACATAATTGTTTAAAATTTTAATGAAATTAAAACTATGCTATATAAGATAATTTGATGTTCTCCTGCAGCTATTCACAATAGACAGTATGTAATATTACATTAAATAGCTGCATGTACAATATATCATATATATTCTTTGTAATTAATAAAGTTTCTAATTTATCATTTATTTTTTCATTAAAAGACACACGCAATTATTTATATCTTTTATGTATCACCTATTTATGTTACTTTGACTATGAGACCACTTTTATTCGATACAAAATTTTCTTATGTAACCTTATTTTAATATTTTCCTAATATTTAATCAATCTGTGGGCACCATTTATAATTTTCTTCTCTTAAGATGTAAATAATTCAATAATAGATTAATATATATGTGTATTGTATATATATAATATACTAATTATATATATTATACATATACGTATATATAAACTAATTGAAAATAAATAGTTCATTGAATATTGCCAGCAGATTGACCTGGAATCAAATGTTCCATTTTGTGTCCCTCTTTTCTGGCAGTGTTACAGAAAGTTTATTCCATAAAAAGCAAAGATTAATTTGTATAAAAATATATAATTTATAGAAAAAGGGAATAGCATATATTGCAAGTAAATAAACTTACAAAATAAATAAATTAAACAAGTATTTCTTATATGCATTCCTCTAAGGAAGGATCATAGAAAGTTTATAAAGATCATTTTAAAAAATATGTTGAACGAGTATATTATAGAAATCTTACTTATAATTTGAGCTTTCTAGATTGTAAAATTTATTTTTACTTTTTTAAAAAATCAATATATGATAGTGTTAAATATATATGATTTATTAATCTATGATCCAACCTTTTTTTTGACATATATTAATTATATAAATCATAACGTGTGTTATAACAAAAACATAATTATTAATATTCACAGTAAAGAGATCATAAAGTCTCCTAATCCAACGAAATGTACAATTAGAATTTGTAAAAGGACAAGGTGGTCAACGTTGTCCTTATACAAATCATAGCTTCGATGTTTGATTCTATATGAAAAACTGTTATTGTTTCCTTGTTAAATAACGATTGTCAATGAGCTTAAGCCAGATGGGCAGTAAAAACGCAGTATTTTAAAATTGTAAACCAAATGCGTGTGTGACAGAAATTTTACTATAAAAGTTGGTATTATCCCAGAAGTAGATTAATATTAAAATTAATTATAAAAAAACTCTATGTGACGTTATATAAGAATAATTACTATGTATTGCACATGCGTAATTTTAATTTTGATCCTATAGTCAAATGCTTGAATAAAAATTTATATTATTTATTAAGTTATTTGTCCTCAACATAAAATAAATATATATCTTCCACACATCTTTGGTTCTATAATTATGATTGTTTTAACTTTAAATGAAAAAATAAA